TAAAGTAAAGAACATTAGAGATTTGGGAGTAGAGGGAGTGGCATGTGGAAGTCTAAGGAATCTAATGATTGGAAAGTATATGATACAAGTCTCTGTGAATTCACTGTCTTCTATATCGTGGGATGAGAGTGATGATCAATCAATTTGGACTCTCAACCTAAATGAGTCTTTTCCGATCAGTCATTCTATAAATATTTGTTTGAGAATGATGCTGTGGAGGATAAGTTCCCATTTAGGTAGATGTGGAAAGTGAACGCTCCACCAAGAACCTCTTTCTTTGCTTGGGAAGCAGGACGCAAATGTATTTCGACCACTGACAAGTTGATAAGAAGAGGAAAGATTTTGTGAACAGATGCTACCTTTATAAGAGGACAGATGAGACTTGCGATCATATTTTACTAAGGTCTTCTCTAGCGTTTATGTTATGTAGTATGGCGTATAGGATAATGGAAGTCAATTTGGCAATCACAGGTAGCGTAAGTGACAAGATATGGCATGGAAAGGGGTGAGTGGTAGGAACAACATTTGGGTCTTATTCCTTTTACAATTTTTTTGGTGGTGTTGGAAAAAAAGGAGCATAACGGATTTTGAAGGAGTGAAAAAGGAGTTTGATAGGGTTAGGGATAGATGTATCAAATTTTAGGTTGTTTGGTTACTGGTAGCGATTTATACTTGTGAAGGATTTTGAAACCTTATTGAAGTCCTAATTGATGTATAAATATCTTTTATATATCGATTGACACCCCCTCGGTGCCTGTAATTAATGCATACACATAATATTTTGTACTTAAAAAATATGCCCTTTTGTGCATTTATTTTGTATTTTTGGTTGCTATCTCCTTGGTTCTCTTTGATGATATTCCACATAAAAAATGAGTGTAAAAAATGAGTGGGACAGAGTTGGTGGCCAGTTGCTTATGGTGGTGGTGGTTGATGACTAGTGATGGTGGTCCTGGTTTTCAAATCTTAGAAAATAATTAAGGTATTTCTGTCCGTATAGAAAATTTTGTTCAGTAACTTAAATTAAGTGGAGTAGAGACATTACAAGTGTTTCTTTGAGTTGATGCATGAAATTTAACATTTTGGGCGTGGTAACCTAAAATCAATCAAGGATAGATGGGTTTGCACACCAAGTTTTTTTGTTTCTTTGGTTCACTGGACAAAAAATGAAGGGTCCATTTAAACTTCATTGGATGTGTTTTCTAATTTATTTTTGAACAAATTTATCTTGTATATAGTTTAATTTCCGCTCAGATGTTTCAGACCCTAGGTTTTTTTGTAATGGGTCAACCTTTATACTCCATGGAAGATTTTAGTGATTTGATAAATATCATGATTGATTTGGAAATATTTTTGTACATAGGTGTGCACTCCCTTGGTGCTTATTGTTAATGGTATTTTATATTTTTTATTTCATTTTTTTTTTGTTCAGATGTGTGTATGTATGTATCTTTATATTAGTGCGGGAAATAAGCTATTTACAAGATAACTAAATAAGGTAATTAGGTACTTCATCTAAAAATCATCTACGCATCTATGTATGTATATGTGCATGAAGGTTCAGTGGACCTTACTGATGCTAGTTTGAATTGAAGTTTCTCTTTCATGAGAGAAAAGAAGAAGAAAAGAGAGGATAAGGATTACACTTGTTTTGATCTTAAGCTGCACTATCACATTTCACATAATATCCCTAATGCAAACTTTTCTCTGGTATTTCTTTAATCAACTCATGTTTTTTGTGCTTTTGGAAAATTTTGTGGTCATCTTTTGATGGTTGATTCTCTTGTGTTCTTCACTGTTGTCTAATCAGGTTGTTGCTTCATGCTTACATGTTGTACATATTTCTTACCGTTTCCTCATGATGGAACCTGAGGTTTTCTGTGAACTTTGGGATTGGTCATGTTTCTTGGACCTTGTGAGGAAGACTCTGGATATGGGAAGTCATCTCGAATTCGCCAAAGATATTTCAGATGTTAGATGGTGTGCAGTACAAGTACTTTCTATCATCCTGAGAATGAATGATAGAGCAACTGCAAGTCTTGGTGTTGGAGCAGAAGAAGCTCTTTCATGTTTATTGCGGTTGGTTCTGATTACCAGTTACTATCAAGATACCTTAATTTGTTTTCGTCGCAACATGCCTATCGTATTTCTATTGCTTTCTTCATTTTCAGCTGGGAGGAATTCTGTGAAGATGTGGCAGTTGAGAAGGCTGGCATGTATATCGGATCATCTGATTGCACAACAATGGGATCTGCTGTTGGCCAGACAGAATTCAGCCGAGTTAATTGCCTGCAGTCCTTTAGTACCAACTCTTTGGTGCTGTCACAGTTGGATGGGATTGAACCATCAATGAAGCGACGTAGGTTGGTGAAAAGGTTGAACTATCAAACTAAGAAAATAAATTTCAGAAACAGATAAAAGTCTCAAATTGCACAAAAATAGTATTTAGTGTGTCTCTACCTTTGTTCATTTTTCCCTATGCTTTATATCTCAGGGAAGACAGATCCTATGGCGACCCGTTTGTCATGACATCTACTATAAAGAAAAGTTTCGAAATGGCCTTGTTAGCAGTGAGTCAGAATTGGCCTGTTCTCTTTTATGGTCCTGCTGGCTGTGGGAAGTCTGCTCTTATAAGAAAGTTGGCCGAAGAGACTGGAAACAATGGTACGCTTTAGATTGATATAAGAGTATGTTATTGATTTAATAACTCATTTGCTATGTAAAATGTTTGATAGGAAAAAAAAATAGTAATGAAGAGAATTGAAAAAAATACAAGCTGGAGGAGAAGATCTCAAAAAAAGAAAAGAAAGAACCAGAAAGGGAGTATCTTAGACCAAGAGCAAATTGTACTCCCTAAACTACCATATAAATTATCTTTTAATTTTTTTGAGAAGTTCCATATGAAATCAAACTGACCTAGGGTTGTTTGTATGTACCCATGAAGGAACGTGTCAGTCTTTTATATCATGAAGTTGCCTGTTTAATTTGTCTATTTCTATGGATTTACGGCCTAGAAGTCTCAAAAAAGGTTAGAGAATAAGTATATGCGCCATATTCTTCTCCTGGAGTTGCTTCTAGTTGGTATTTCCTTTTAGCAAAAAGTGTTTTTGGGAAGAAGATTTTTTAGCGTGGAACTTTTTCGGATGATATTTTTATCCTCCTTACCTTATGTTTTTCTTGCAGGGTTTGTTATTCTAATGCTCTCTTTTCTGATTATGTTTTTATCTGTCTCTCTTAACTATTCCTATCCCTCTCTTTGTTGCTTAGTTCTATCTATTCACATGGATGATCAAATTGATGGAAAAATGTTGGTGGGTAGTTATATTTGTACCGAGCAACCTGGGGAATTCAGATGGCAGCCTGGGTCCCTTACCCAGGTCTGTTTCCTTCTAAGCTTATTGTTATTTGTTTTCTTTTGTTATGAGCTTCTGTTGCTGGACTCACTTGTTATAGTTACGAATTTTCTTTCCCAACAGGCTGTACTTAATGGTCTTTGGGTTGTCTTTGAAAATATTGACAAAGCACCATCAGATGTGCTTCCCATCTTAGTGCCCTTACTTGAAGGTGCAAGCTCCTTTGTAACTAGTCATGGGGAGGTAACACTTTCACATTCTTTTTCTTTTCTTTTCTTGTTCACAAAAAGTTAGTAAAATTGGGGCATTTCTTGTTTATAGGATCAATGTTGGAAAAAATTTGGTTTTTAACCTACGTTTCACTTTTAGTTTCTTTGATGGTTTTTTGTTTGAGGAAGGTGATCCTTCCAGAATTAATGGTTTATTGGATAATATGTGTGCTGTTCAACATAACTTACTCCCCTTTAAACGTTATGATTCTTTGTAATTTGGTACGTCTTCTAATACTTGGGTGTTAAATTTCATGTGTCTATCCATCTATACCCATATCCGAAATCAACCATCCAACATGTAATCCATGAATCATGCTGATAAGACTTTCCCATATAATTTACAGATTGGACCATTCTCTACCTTCTTCACAATAAAATCCACTTCACTGGGAATTAGGGTTCTATCAGCAGAAGCATTATATGGTTTCCCAACTGTTTTTTTTGAAATAAAAACAGTATGTATATATATTGCCATAAGCACCTTGGGGGTGCAACCCATTGACAATAATTACAAAGCTTAATCTAACCGGCTCTAAAATGCTTTGAAAGCTTCAGTGATCTCAGCTGGTTGGCCCAATAATAAAAATTAAAGGGTCTTAAACCATTTATTCTTTAAAATATTAAAATTTTTTTGTTGATAAGAATTTCATTCTAAGTAGAATACTATATTAGTTATAGTTCTAATAATATAATTATATTATATAATTAGAGTCCAACTAGAATAAGGATAACTATTTTATATATATTTTTTAAATGTAACACAAAAGATAAGTAATAAAATTAGAAATTTATTTTCTCTAAAATCTTCGTAGTATCAGAGCCAAAGGAAAGCTATTTGAAAGTTTTGAAAAAACTCTAAAATAAGTAAAATAGAACAAAGTTGGTACTCAATTATCAAAGAAACCAAAACTAACATCACCCAGAAGGAGTCGCCGCTCAACCCTGGCCAGAACAACCACAGTTTCCGCGCGCGTCTGTCACACACGCTACCGGTTC